ACGTTTCAAGCATTTTCCCTCTCTTTTCACTATTACATTGCTATTATCATCTCTTGATAAGACTTGTCTGATTCTTGCAACAGATTATTAGACAGCTTATAAGACAAGCACAAACCTTTTCCTTCCTTGTTTGACTTTTCATTTGCTTTTCTGTGCGCATTCAATGTCAATGTTGGCCCAAGAAAATGTTATAATAATAAACATATCCAATTACAATTAGATCATTTTTGTCTTAATATGACATTTGTTCAAAGGTCAACTCTCAACATGAATTCATTTGTTTGCGCTTCGATAACAAGAAAATCAATAGTTACAATGAATCGAGTAATATGAGTTTCTCTCAATTACAAATCATTAACGTTTCATTAGTACAACCTTTTTGCCTAAACATTCATTTCAACACTTTGTTATATTCGCTCATTAAGATGTCGATTTCATGATTCAATTTCAAGGTAGAGCTCAACAAAATGTTACGTTTCATCAGCGTTTTCTTAAACGAAATAATCAAAATCTGATCGAAACTCGGAGAAAAATCGTAAAATTGGAATTTTAATCGATTGATGAAAATGTAACATTTTTAGGAAATGCTGGCCACTGTTCACATGGTTGAGAATCAAAACTACAGAATTTCGAAATTTCTTTGCTAGAATTTCCATTTTGATGAGCAATTGCGCATGAAAATGTTGGTCTGGGTAAATTGAATCAAAGTTTCTAAATTATTGAAAATGCGAGTTTACTTGGTTTAATTTACTTTACCTATTTGGGTTAACATTTCAAACTGAGTTTGAAATCAACTTTTCCAGTAGCCTTGGTCGTTCATCTTCAAATTTTCAAAAGCTATTCAGACTTTTAGATGTAATGGGTTTGTAAAAAATTTATAATCCAAAAGGTTCATCAATAAATTGATGCACATTCAATCTGGTTTCACAAAATTGAGTGATCAAACTTTGCAAGTATAAATGTTTAAAAAATAAACACGATCAATAGCAGGGTGAGATGAACTTGCATAACCTAATTCTGAATGAAGAATTAAAAAACAAAATTACAAGAGAAAAGAGATATTAAACTAAAGAAAAAAATAGAACAATCCCATGACGAAGAATTAAAGATAAAAAGAACAGAAAAGTTGAGGAAAAAATCAAAGGCAAAAGCGATCGAAAAGAAGATTTTGAATGATAAAAGTTGCGTTTCAACGGGCGCCAGATGAATAACAACCAATATCGACATCACAACGAAAATGCAAAATTCCAATCTAAACGCTTATCTGTAACTCTGAGTCTCTCCTTGGAATTGCAAGTTATCACAATTAACTGCTTACGTATTAGCTGGATATTTCTTCGTCCATCAATTCCTAATCCGCTTTTCTTCAGCTACTCTTTATCATCAATCTTATCTCAAGAGATTAAACAACAATTAAACGAATTAAAAGATCGAAAAAATCCAATTAAATTTTTTTTCGTTCCTCACACAACAAATGCAAAATGTTCGAATTCCGAGTTTAATCTCTAAATCTATTTCCATTGAATCAACCAACGATAGCAGAAAATCTCGGTTCTTTAGATTAGCATCAAAAACCATGAAATTTCATGAGATTGTAATACGAACTGCACTTCTGTCGAAAATTCTGAAAACTTTCAGCTCAAAACAAAGCGATTATCAATTCTGAGTTACATTTTTGTAAACAAAGTTGACATTTTCTAGTCAAAAAAGGTAAACAAAAGTTGAGTTTGTTTAATTTAATCATTTGAAATGTTTCATTGAAAACAAAATGAAAGATTGAAAAATGTTTAAAGTTGAAAAAAGGAAAGTTTCCTCTGTCCAGATTAGTCTTTCCCTGAAGATGCAGTTGAGTGGGTTACAATGAAATTATGTTCATTTACGATCTTACAGTTGCTGCCTTGATTTAATTAGATATTCAAATTTTCCATGTTTTCACTTGGAAAACATTTCAATCTTGATTCAACTCTTTTTTGTGTTTCATGTAACAAAAACCAATTGTGTCAACTATTATTTTAAATGTGTAAACACTGAGTAGGCAAAGATTCCAACACTGTTTATATTGCATTAAATTTAATATTTCATCATTATACTACCACATGAATCCATATGTTACCGGCTTAGTCAACAGAATATTTTTTTCTATCTTTACATTTTTCTTTCTCTTTTTCCTTTCATGAATCACATTGAGCTCAGAAAGGCAGAAATGTTGAAATCAAAGTGTTTTCGTTTGATGAAACAATATTCACATATTTATTATTATTATCACTATTACCATTTATTATTGTCATAAAGAGCACAAAATGTATAATAATGTTTGTGAAGGAAAAGAAAAGGGTTAATATGCAAGAGAATGCAAGTCACTTTTTTAGCATTTTCACTTATTCCTCCAACTGATTAATTGAACCATTAACAGAACTTTTGATTTATCAATTGATCTTTAACTTTATTGTTCAACTTGGACATTTGGTCATTTTATTTGCTTAATTTTCCCTTTTCATGTTTACATGGATTTATCTAATTATTGAATTACTCTTTTTTTCATGGTTGCAAGGGAAAAGTTGGACAAAAAAGAATCAGAATTTTATGCTCATCAGAAATGACATTTGTCATGATATTATCGTGTTCTTGTTTTAGTTCCCCGATATTGGTCAAAGTGCAATCAACAAAATCTGATTGATGAAAATGAATGGAAACAGAATGGAAAACTCGGACAAAGAATGAAATTTTTTTTCAACATTTTTTGATTTTCTGAGTTTTTCAAATTTCTTTCAATTTTGAAACTTACTTCATTAAATCATGAAAATCTAGTTTAGAATGGAAGAGAACATAAATGATAGAAATAGCAATTTCTCTAAATTTAAGTTACTGACTTCAAGAATTCCCTCAAAGTTAACTTATTTTTCTCTAGAATTAGATTGAAATTTATTCAATAGTCTAATGTTGGCAAATCCAATGTTCTCAAAGCAAAGTTTATTTAGAAATTAAATTCAAAATTTGAAATCGAATTGCAAGAAAACCAAAAACCAAATTCCAAGAGATTATTCGAAGTTCATTTCCAAATCCATTCATTCTGTGCTTCTGCCAAATCTTATGTAAAATCTTGAGACCAAAAAATGAAGTAACTTACATAGAGCCACCAACTTGTATTTGATTAATTATTTGTTCGCCTCTAACCAGCAGTAAAAGTGTTAATTTGATCAAATGCGACTTCGGATTTAATTTTGTTTGAACATTGTAAACAGCAATGTAAGTAAACAAGCAATTTTGATTGCATGAAAAGAGCGACTAAGGCTGAATAGTTGGACCATTTTGCAAGTGAACCATTAATGGGGCAAGAATGGATTTTGATTACATTTGATGAAAGAGCTGCACATTCTAGTCAATATATTGGTCGAAAACTGGGCAGACAAAAGGTAGGACAATCTACAGGAAATTAATATCCACTAATATTGATAACAATGGTAACAATCAAACAAGATGATAGCTATTTGAAGATCAATTGAGAACGAAATTACATGATGAAAGAAGTGTTTTTAAAAAAAGAAATGAATTGAGGTAAAACCCAAAAGTATAAAGACATTGTTTTATACTGTGAGTGGTTTCAAGTGCCCAATCCTCAGCGTCTTTTCCCTTTGATAAATATCTGATAATATGAAAACTATAAGTCACAAAATCTTTCATTTCATATTTTCTTACCTCTTCATCTTCATCATGGGTTGAACAACTTTTCAACTATTTATTACAGATTTTTCATTTTCTTCCCGTTCCAACCAATTTCTCATTTTTACTTTGCGCACTCAACTCCGATATTCAATAACTTCATTTTTTCTTGAAACAAGATCTTTTGTTGCCTTAAAAGTTGAAAGTAAATCATTTCGTTTAAAAAGTGAACATTCTTGGACATCGAAACTCAAGATTTCATCATTTCTCATTTTCTTTTAATCACTTTGTTTGTTAAAATATTTGAACCGAACACTCAAACATGAGAAATTCAAACCTTCGCTTTGACCCTTTTCTAGCTTAAAAGTACATGCAATGTTCGTAAAATTTTGGTTCAATTTTTTGCCCAAAATGCATTGATCTTTTAACTTCATTTCGATATTTTTAGTTCTTTTCCTTTCATTTTATTTCCGGTTCTTGCAAATCGAGATCGAGTCAAGGTTGTTTGAGATTCTCTTTTTTCAGATTTAATGGAAATTTTAACGTAATTTATCTTTTCTGATCATTTTGATTTCTTGTATTTTCGCAGTTGAAATGAACGTAAAAGTAAAAATGATCATTTTTACTTGGAACCTTGTCGATTCATTTTATTGAACTATCTGTCTAGATGAATTTCTATCTGGAATTGGAATGCAAAGACTTTGGAATGCATGCAACATATTTAATTATTTTCCCTGAAGATTACTCAAGTTCGTTATTTTGAACCTTTTTACCCAAAGAAAAGGCTTCCATTGTTGAAGCAAGAAAAATCAGAAATTGAAAATTGAGATGCAATTTTATTCCTGATAAATGTAAACCCTGAATTTGAGTGAATTTCAAAAATACATCAAAAAAGTAAATATTGTTGCCTTACACGAAGAGAAATATCTTTTTTATTTATTCATACAGTTCGTGACACGAATTGTAACCAGATTGGTTACATTTGAACATCCGATTTGAAACGAGATCAACTTGAGTAAATATTGAAACAAGATTTAATCTACTAAATTATAAAAATTTATTGAATTTCATCCAAAAATCATGTTCAACTCTACTCATCCAAACTTTGCCTAACTGCAAACACTTCAACATGTTACAATATTCAAATTGCGACTTTAGTCACATATTGAAATTTGTTATCAAAAGTTACAACAACTTTCAAAATCTGTTCAACTATCTACTTACAATGGAAGCCAAAAAACGATGTCATAAGATTCACTAACATCGTAAAGCAAGAGTTTGAACTTTCCCAGAATGTGCCGTTAATGAAATGCAAAGTTGAACTCAAATGCACTACTTACCGCAGTTAATAAATATGGAAGGCTTTCCGGTTTTGTGTCCACAATCAGTGAGTAAATGTTGCGATTTTTGATATCGAGAAGAGTTTCACGGAATATTTGGGGTTCCGTTTTGCGAAAAACAAATTGCACATTTTTAGGTAAAGGTGGCTTAATGAGTTCTTGTAATCCAATTAGTGCTGATTGATAAACAAAGATATTCCACGAAACGTTGGCATGAAAAGAAAAAAGAAAATTTGGTAAAAAAATCGAATGTAAAAGTTTTTTTGTTAAATTTTAAAGAAATTTTCGAACATAAAAAGACGAAAAAATCATTTGTTCATTTCGTATCAATTTCAATGAAAAAGATTCTATAAAAAGTGGAAAAACGTTTAGCTGTTTTAAATGTGATTATGAATGTTAATAACGATCTGTAAAAGAATCTGAAAAAAGCAAAATTCTCTAGAGAATTGATTCCACTTTGCATTCATTGTAGAGTTGCACTTATCTTGAATCATGAATTTACAGAATTTTCTCCAAGAATATAAGTTGATCTGAAGCGCAATTATTTATCTATCAAGATCATGATCATTTTTCTTGTTCATATTTCCAGATTATTGTAAAACCTTTAGAAGGTTCATTTTTTTCTCAACATTTTTTCGTGAGTTTCATTTAAAAGAGAAAATTGTTGCTGAGCTTTGGATGAAAAAAAAACTTTGCCAAAAAATGACTTTATTCATGGTAACCATGAATCATGTTGAAAGTGCAAGGAAATGAGGTTCAATGTTGAACCATATTTGCCTTTGAGATTCAACAGAGCTGATACAACTTGTCAGAATATTCATTTTACAATATTTTCAACGCTTCCTCAACCTTGATAACCTTCCATCATGTACATCATTCAAGAATCAAAATTCCAACAGAACACTGATAATAATCGTTCTAACAAGGTGTGATTTCATGTGCAAAATTCAACTTGGAAATGAAAGTTGACAAAAAAAGGTAAAATTGTAATTCATCTTTTATCTGAAAATACTTTTTCATATCTGATTTACCTTGGATTCTTGTTAACTGAATCATCATTTTTCTTGTTCACAAATGGTCCATCATGATGCATATTAATGCAAATCCGTTATCATTTCGAGTGAGAAAGAAATTCTTTTTTTTTTGTCTTTTTTCCTTTCTTTGCCAACTGATTCATAAGTGTTGATTCAACTGACTAAACATTAACGTGATGAGTAAGTACTTTTATTGCAATACATGAACACATGCAGAGTAACATGTGTGTGTGTGTGTGTGTGTGTTGCATCTACATCAACAATATTAGCTTGTAATTTGGCGCAATTCATTCCATTTATGGTGCAATCAAAAGAAAAGTTGATAAGAAAATTGGGCAAACTTGTGCACAAGAATACAGTTTATTGATAAACTAACCTTTTCACTGCTCTTTTTGTTCAACTTTTGTATTCATCAATAAAAATGAAGCTGCTTACCTTATCATTTGCAACTTATTTACTCCCAACTCTCCACTCTAACCTTGCATCTCTTCATTTGAAATAAGTAGAATAATCCATCTTTCGTCTTCACAATTTTCGCAAAGAAAATTATTCTTTTCAAAATTTCTTTTCGAGTGCAAATCAACTTTGCTATTCACAACAAATTTCTAATTGAGCTTAAATGTGCGTTAATTTCCATGATATTCAATGATGTGATCGATAAAGAATTCAAAATTTATGCTCAGTTATTCAAGCTCATTCAATGCTTGTCCTTCATCAGATATGCTTCAACTTATATTGGAAATGTATTCTTGAGATTTGAAGGGCTAACGGTTTTCAGTCTTACACTCATTACTGGCATTTGATGACCATTTCTGAGAGCGTAAATTTCATTATTCTTGCTATTCTTTTCACAGAAATACATTCATCTCAATAGAAATGAATACAGGGTTTCGGCTTCTAACGAAGACATGAAGAAATGTGTATCTGTATCATAATCAGAATAACAAAAATCAATAAGTCTTTTTGGTCTGATTGGTAAAGTTGGTTTGGTATGCTTATTGGTGTATCTGACATTGCAGCTTAGTTAAGACAACTTGGTGGATTGTCTGCGATTTTGGTATTTCTTTACATTTCCATTCAAAATCATGCAAGATCAAAGGATTGGTTTAACAGGGTAGAATGTTGATCAAGAAAATGATTCGCTTCTCTTTAACCATCAGTTGAAGAATTGTGATGAATTTATCATAAACTTTTCTCTTTACCTTTTTTTCGCTTCAATGACATCTAGACTAATATTGAGGCCTTCGCTTCAACATTACAGCATTCAATAATGGAATTTACGCCAAAAGAAGAGTCAAAAAAAAGCTCAAATCGTTGACAGAAAAGGAAAGAAATTATATGCAGAGGAAAAATGAGGATAAAATGTGTGCAACACCGAATGAAATTGTCAATCTTGATAACTTTAAATTCTATTCTTATTCCAACATTTGCAATTGCACACTTTTCTTGAACATTTCTGACACATTTTCCTCTCCTTTTCCAACCTTCTGATTTATCAGTTTTCCATCAACAGATGAAATTGCTCATTTTACATTCAACTTTTAACCGACTTTCACAGTTCAATTCATACATATTTATGCATTAAACATTGCCTCAAATTGCAACAGGGAATTGCATCTTGGAATCATCATGAAATATAATGAAACAATCGCTAAGATTGTCTTTCAATAAACTCTAATTTGCTTTCATTTCCTAATCTAACAAAAGTAATGAAAAAAAAGCTCATCAATTGTCAGCTTTTAGATTCTCATTTCTAACTGAATATCAATTGTGAACATTAATAAAGGTTGTTTCATTTCACTGAACATTTCATGGAGCTTGTATTTATAAATATAGAATTTTTTTTCCTCATTTTCTCGTTCGAATCTTGTGATTATTTTTTTGCACATTAAAGATGAAAATAATGAGAAGAGAAAAAAGTTGCTCCAATGAAGAAGAGCAGAGGCCGTAAGGAAAGTTTCCTCTTGCAACTGATAGGATAATAAGGAAACAATGAAGAAACTGAAACATTGATCAAGAGTCGAAAAAAAGGAACAAAAAAAGTGTTACTTTTATCCGAATGTGATGGTATTCTGAATGAGAACTCTGGACAGAATACTGATGAGAAAATTGAACAAGTTGAAATGGAATCAAGATCCTGATAAAGACAGATATATTTCATTCCCTGTGATATTATTGTGTGTCTTGCCACTGATGACGCCCTTTCATTTCTTTCATTTCTTTTTTTGCTTCTTCTTCTTTCTTCACATTTTTTAGGCTCCATTCCAAGACTTATTCAGATAAACATTCAACTATATCAAAAGAAGAATGAACAAGTAAATTTTGTGTATTCACTCTGATTACATGGTATTGACATACACACAATGTTTTCGTGGTTGTTACTTTTGTCATTTAATCTGTTAACTTTATATCATTGTCAGACATAAAGAGATGAAAGGAAAGACCAAGAAACGAGACTAAATTGATGATGAAATTGTCATTATTCAGAAATGGTTTATTCAGACGAAATGCAAAACATGAAAATCAATCCATTTTATCGAGTTTCGAAAATCATTTCATCGACTGTCAAATGTTCACAGTTTATCTGATGGAAATTTTTCATCGAACAAGTTGATCGAAAAACAAATATTTATCTTGAGATGAGTTTTGCTACTTACACATGTCATCCTCGTAGAGCACAGCTACTTTCGTCCAGTTGAGGTATATTATCAGGTCTCGAAGGGAGTCACTCATTGCGGCCGAACCGGGATGAAGGTTGATTGAAAACTCTTTGCTGTGACCGGCTTCACCCAAGTTTTGAAGACGCGCTTCCATGTGAGGTATGTCGAGAGCATCACAAAGCGATTGTACGTGGATTCCAAGGAGAGGGTCTTGAGGACCAAATATTGAAATGACACCCGAAGTGACCTGGAAACAAGCTGGAATCGGCAGAACACGTTCAATATGGAATTTTGAGGAAAAGAAGAAAAGTCAAATTTTCATTGCTTACCTTTCTTGGAGGCATGAAAGCTGTCATCATGTGGTACGTATTGAATATCGTAGACTAGAGTTGTATTGGGCAGTATATTTGGATCTTTATTGACTCGGTAAACAGCATATTTAAATGCTAATTCAGTTTGACTATCTTTTTCTTCTTTGGTAAACAATGCACCTACAAAGAACATGGAATAAGTTCATTCGGATATTCAACATTGGAATAACAATTTTATGGAAATAAGAAAAAACTTTGACACTTTTTTTTCTCTTGATCACTTTACCTATTTTAACAGTTGTTGGAATTGATTGAGCTGAGTTGGAAAAATAATTCCATGATGAAAGGAATAAAAAAATGATAGCAACATTATAAACAATTTTGGCACTTTCCATAGCCTTGGAATGGACAACACTTCACTATAACACCATAACTTGACTGAACTTTTAAAGGGCCAAGTGTATCATTCAAGTGGCAAACATTCAACACACAAACACTGCTTTGGACAAAAGTGTTTTTTAACCAACAAACAAAAGTAAAAACTTTTTTGTTTTCCCTTTCAATTTGTGTCTTCCCTTTGCTTTTGTACGTTTGGCTGTTCAATTTTGTTCACTCACTGAATCAACGAAACAAGAAAATGTTTCAACAACAAGAAGACGAAGAAGAAGATGATTGAAAAAGGCGAAGAAGGAGAAGAAGAAGAAGAGGGAAAAAAGTTCAGTCGAAAAAAAGATGCGGATAAATATGAGTGAGTTGGTGAGTATTCAGAGAGAATTGGATGGAAAAACCATGAGAATTGATGAAAGAAAGGAAAAAGAGAAAGAAAATCGAGAGAAATGAAAGAATGAATTTGTCATGTGCAACTTTAATTTTCAACTCCCGCACATTCAGGATAAAACTATTTAATCGATATTTTCTCGTAAATTATCCATCCTGGTTTTTCCCTGGAGCATTTATTTATCAATTCTTTTTCATTGCATTCTTTTTTCTCCAAAAAAACCAATCAATTCCATAACATCAAACTATGCTCTTTCAACATCAATCTGAACTTCTCAATTAATTCAAGCCAATTTTTGTATTCTGCAGCTTTTTAGTAAACTTCCCTTGAGCTCTTCATGACCCTGAATCCATCGCAATGTTAAAATACGATTGTTACAATGAGATCATTTTCATCTCATCATCAGAGTTTAAAAGCCTGAAAATTATCAAAGTTGCTCAAAATGAATGTTCAAACTTGATGCAAGTGGTGGCATCTGTTGCTGATGAAAATAAACCTTTAATCTCAGAAACGGGTTCTTTTTGTTCCAAATCTTATAAATTAAACTTTCAACCAGACTCAAAATCGAAAAGTCAAGAAAATTCTCAGAATGATTTTAAACCAGTTTATTCTAATTACTATCGTGATTCAAATAAATTTCAATAAACTCAACTTCTGAGTAATGGGAATTTAACCGATTGGAGCGTTAGCAAAAGGCCGAAAATTCCGTGATCAAAAAGATACTCAATAATTAATCTACTTGTAATACGGAATTCGCATTGAAAATTTTCAGTTCTTACTAGTAGCTGTTCAGGCAATTTTTAACCTTTTTGCTTGCTTCGTTCACGTCTATCAAGATTAAAAAACTAAAGATGTCGCTAGTTTGGTCACAGAAGACATAAAAGTTTATCTTTGATGAAACTCAATTGTTGAATTGTTTAAACCATTGATAAATATACAATCTGAGTAGCTTCACCATTGAATAGAAAATCGTGAAATCGAACAAACCAAGCCATCGATCCCGGAATGAAATATTCGGTCATTTTTTTCGCAAAATTGACTCTCGCTGATGATCCAAACTGTGACTATTGTGCTAATGAACGAAATGCAAGAAAAACAAAAGCGAATTAAAATATTGATACAGAAAAGAGTATTTGATTTTCGATGATTGGTTTTTTTTTGAGGAGAAAAAAGAATGCAATGAAAAAGAATTGATAAATAAATGCTCTAGGGAAAAACCAGGATGGATAATTTACGAGAAAATATCGATTAAATAGTTTTATCCTGAATGTGCGGGAGTTGAAAATTAAAGTTGCACATGACAAATTCATTCTTTCATTTTCTCTCGATTTTCTTTCTCTTTTTCCTTTCTTTCATCAATTCTCATGGTTTTTCCATCCAATTCTCTCTGAATACTCACCAACTCACTCATATTTATCCGCATCTTTTTTTCGACTGAACTTTTTTCCCTCTTCTTCTTCTCCTTCTTCTTCGCCTTTTTCCATCATCTTCTTCTTCGTCTTCTTGTTGTTGAAACATTTTCTTGTTTCGTTGATTCAGTGAGTGAACAAAATTGAACAGCCAAACGTACAAAAGCAAAGGGAAGACACAAATTGAAAGGGAAAACAAAAAAGTTTTTACTTTTATTGTTGGTTAAAAAACACTTTTGTCCAAAGCAGTTTTTGTGTGTTGAATGTTTGCCACTTGAATGATACACTTGGCCCTTTAAAAGTTCAGTCAAGTTATGGTGTTATAGTGAAGTGTTGTCCATTCCAAGGCTATGGAAAGTGCCAAAATTGTTTATAATGTTGCTATCATTTTTTTATTCCTTCCATGTTTACTATTACTTTTAGGTATAAATAATTATCTTTCAGTCAACAGTTTAATCACAAGTCGCCATACAGTGGCCGCCATTCCAGGTGACCTCGTTTTAGGGGCACTTTTTCCCGTTCATCATGCACCCGGAGTCAAACAGGCTCAGTTTCGTCTTTGCGGTGACATACGTGAACAGTATGGCATCCAAAGGATTGAAGCCGCTTTCCACACCATTGACACAATTAATGCAAACAAGGAAATTTTACCCAACATAACTTTAGGTATTGAGATTCGTGATTCTTGCTGGTATTCACCAATCGCTCTTGAACAGTCCATTGAGTTTATTCGCGATGCAATGGCTGCTTCAGATGAGCGAAGTGATACAACTGATAAAAGTGATACATCATCAACTTCCACCACATCTTCATCATCATCATCATCCGTTAGTTTCCTGCCAGAATCTGTATCCATATCTCATTCGCCTTTATTTCCAATGCTCAATGCACCATTTACACCCTTTGGTCGACTCAATACATCGCTTATGTGTCCAAAGCAAGTAAAGAAAGTTAAAAATCTTGTTGGAGTTATTGGACCAGCATCAAGCTCAGTAACTATCCAAGTAAGTTTCACCTTGAGCCATTATTCACAGGGAAAACCTTAACCTTGTCCTGTCACTTTACTTTACTCATGATGATATTCAATTGTTGTCTACAAGTATTGGTATTACATGAAGAAAAAAAAGAATAAAAAAGTTATCAAATCAAACCTTCAATCAATTTTTCTTCTTTACTGTCAAATTAAATTCACCATTTGGTCAAGCTAATAATTTTACTGTTAAAAGGACAACTTTGTTTCATTCAAATGGAAACAACTTCAACAATCAATTACAAGCATCAAAATTGATTTACTGTCAAATTCAGTGGCAATTTCATTAAAAGCAAAACATTTTATCATTGATTCAGCCAACTCATTATCAATCGTATCTTCTTCATTCGGAACTCGGACTTTGAACAAAAAATGATTAGTTTAAACACTCCATTTCTCTTTCCAACTTTCATCAAAAGACGACTTTGATTACGATTTCAAGTTTAGTTTTGATATTTAAATTCAATCGCAAAACGAATTTTGATTTTTAAGAGTAAAATTTTTCTATCAACTCGAAATGAACTTTTTGAATGCAAATTTGACATTTGCTTAATGAAAATGATTATCGAATGAAAGGGAAATATTAATTCATTGAAACGAGATGAACTCGGGTTTGATTGATGAGAAAACATTTCTTCTCGAATATCTTCTTCTCTAAAAAATGGCAAAAGTAATGAAAAAATATGAACCAAGAATGACGATGAAAAGGAGAATGAAAAGTTTACTTTGAATAAAAACAGATTAAAGTACATTTTGATTGATATTATTTATCCATTGAATCAGATTGCATTACAAGATGAAAATGGAGATAAATTGAGATTCGGATTGATTCGCTTCAGACTATTATCACTGATATTAATACATGAGGCTCATCATGATGATGCTAATAATGTTCAACTTGCCTGTCGACATTTATTAATATTTCAATATTTTTTTCTTTTCGCTGCAACTTCTCATTGTTCATCATGAAATATCCAAACATTGTAACTGATATAAATGTAAATATTATCGTCAACATCAACAATCGACAATAATTATAAATGGAAAGATCGAAAAAATGAGGAAAAAAAATATTCTCATGTAATTGTAGATTCTGTTGATTGATTAAATTTATTTCCGCAAATTTTCACATTCCATCGATTTTCTCATTCAATTATGTTCGATCATGATAAATATTTATTTTGAATAATCAATTTTTATTTCTTTTGCTATCAAGTAAAGGAAGAGTACATTTAAATAACAAATTCAATCAGTTTTACAAGTCATCATTCTGGTCGTAGTAAGTCCCATGAAAGGCCAAAAGGAAAGCCTTCTTTACGAAATTAATGACTGAATTTAAACCAACTCAAAGCATTTGTCGAGCAAAGCAAAACAGAAAAAATTGAAGACATTCGACAATCCATCGATGAAGTATGATTAAGTTTAATAAATGATCGATTGCCGAAATTTTGTCAAATTCGCTGTCAAGTGTAGGAATTGGCCTTTTCATCTAATTCATCAATCAATTGATCCAATTTAGAAAAAAGTTCAACTAAAAGTGAATTTCGAAAATCGTTAGTATTCAAGAAAATGATCAATCATAAAAACATCCCAAAATCGATTTTCGATTTTTCACCTCGAAATTGTTCACAAAAAACTTTAAATTCTTTTTCAAAATCGGATTGAATACCATTCGAAAAAAAGTTCAATTTATTTCTAAATTTTGTGCTTTTCGTAAATCGCATCCCCTTCCTTCGTTAAAACGAACGGAATTTTGTTTTCTAGTTTCTATTATCTAATATCAGTTTTTAGACTGAAAAAGTTAAAACTTTTTTGAGCTTTCAGTTTCGTGAGTTCAAATTGTGAAACAAAGACAAAATGCAAATGTACATTGGAATAGAATAAACTTTAATTTTCGAAGAATCAGAACAATGATCGATCAGCCCAGTGCCCAGTGAACATCAGCCAATTAGACGTCGAGCAAACTGTAAGCCTGTAAACTTGGAATTAACTTTGCTGCGAACAGGCTCACAGTTGTAATTTTGTAATAAGCTTATAATTTAATCAATCCAAGAAAGAAAAGGTTCTTAGAATGAAAATTGAATTAGTTATTTATGTGGATGCTTCAATACCTTTTCCAAGTCAGATTATCTCCAACATTTCATCATTTTTATCATGTTACCATCAAAAATGTTGCATTCCATAATGTAAACTGTTGCAGATTTTTTCTTTTCCCTTAACTCTGAAAATCTAATTTGATAATCTGCAAAAATGGAATGCTCCAGATAATTCAATTGACTTTTGATTCAAACTTTTTTAATAACATTAAACTCTAGATGATAAAGCTAATTCTCAGTGGTATTTTTATCTGACATTTAAATTCATGGCGAGATTGATCAAAGTAAATGAAAAAAGTTAAACATTTATCTTTATGAATATACATTTTGTCTCTTGCGAACGTTTCTCTTCATTAGTAAATTGAAATTTTGGTAGAAAAAAAAGTTCATTGAAACTCGATTTTAAAATGATTTCGAACAAGATTGACCAATTTCAATGGTTCTATTGTTTTACCCTGAATGAGCATAAACGATGATCTATTTGCGACTCACTGTTGCTATAAACTGATGCTTTATAAAGCTTGTTATCTGATTGATAAATAATTAGCTAAACAAAACCTACATAAATTAACATAATTAACTTATGTGATTAATTTTGTTATTAAATTACTATTTATAAATGGATACAATTAGAATAACGAACTATCGTTCAAACTTTTGGGCTCAATTTGCTCATCACTCTTCATTTCCTTATCTTTCATTATTCAGAATAGTTAAGCAGCTGAGATACATTTAGATAGTGTTTAATGAACACTCAAGTTTCAATCAAATTCAACTTTCAAACAAAGTTGAAAAAATTTACATTTCTCGTTTAGGTAATGAGCTACTCTTGAGGCTGATAAATGCACTGATCTGGATGGAAAAACTTCTATTAATTGGAATTGGTTAAATTGAAAAGTTTGTAAATCTTGTCAACTGAATGACAATTAGTTCTATTCCAATTTAAATCAATCGATTGATTAAATTGATCAAAACAGTAAAATGGGTTGTAGAATGATGGAAATAATCGAAACTAAAAGAGTACGAAAATCAGCCTCATCTCATTAATTCAATCGAGAACTAGTTGAAGCGTCTTCAACATCAATTTTTCCACAGGAACAGAAAATCATGAAATAGAAATGTTTAAATGTTTATTTCTTATCGATTCTCAGAGTCTTTTGATATGCAAACAAAATCACATCAATTATATTCTTTAAGTTACGTTCGATTGATCACCTCGACGTAATGGTGTCTCAAAGAAGAGTTAAATTTTTTCTTACCATTTCATTGTTTCCAAAATGGCTCATCAAAAGAAAAGTAACTGCTCATGTTGAGATCGCCAGTGACAGGACAGAAACCAGAAACCAGATGAATATCAGAATAATCTGTAAAGAGGAAAAATTCGGTGAAACCAGAAATTGTTAACAGAAGTCAGAATTTCAAAAAGATTTAATTTTAACTTGAAATCACTTGTTCAGAGTTACTAACGTTCAACTAATGTAATGATTGAATGAGAGGTTAAGGACAAGGAAATTGAGGAAGAGGAAATGATTTATAATCAATTCAAAGTTGATAATTTTGATCAAGATTGACTTTAATCAGAGAAATGATTGGTGAAAATATTGATTAGGTGCAAGATAATGTTTGAATTTTTTGCATTTGTAATTATTAATAGATTGCTTAAAGGTTTGTTTTTGATCGCAACTGTAAATTGACTTTTTGTTATCAACTTGTTAGGAAAGTTTGCCTTTGATTAGCTAACTGGTTAAATGAAAGTTGTGATACAAGTTGATGGCTTGAAGCTGATAATGAATGATCAAAGTGTGTCCTCGATTGAATTAACTTTCATGATTAGAGGTGATAAAAGGCGAGCGTAAAGAGATGAATGAAAATAAGGTAAAGACTATGTGATGAACTTTTGCTTGCTGGAGAAGCAAAAAATTTCATCTTTACATTGATGGATGAACTCGTCAAGTCAATGATGAAACTCTAGATTCAAAGACAATGAACAGTAGCAAAAATGTGTGAATAGAGAAGAAAAAAGTTGTCGAAGAAAAGAAACTTTTTTTCAAATTAAATTCACAAATGAATGGAATGAAAAAAATGGACAGACTTTTGATTGATTCTTTTTCTTGACCAAAGTCAGTCAGTTGGCCAAGCAAATTTCATCAACTTAAAGTGTTTCCAGTTGACATTGAATTTGAACTGGGGCAAATGGATAGTCATCTGATGAGCATTGAAAATGTTCAATGTTTCAAGCAATAGAGAACTTTTTTTCTTCTCCTTCAATTATTGATCTAATCATCAATGACATTCACCAAACTAATCAGCAATAAGTTTAATCTAGTAAATTGTTTTCCGAGACGAAGAGAAACTTATTGATCTTTGACTTTCCTTCGGTCAAAAAACGTTGTGACCCAATTTGACCAATTTAAATGCATTTTTCTTGTCAAATCAAAAAAGGTAAACTAATGAAATTGAATGTTAAGAAAAGTTACTTTTGTTTCTTTGTACGCTCAAGGCAACAATAAATGTTAACTTTCATCTTGAGTAAATTTCATTCAAAGTTTCATTTTATTAATGGTTTAAAAAAGGTTTTGCTTTCATGGAAACGATGAAACATTGTTTTACCGCAAGAGTTGAATGGATGGTTAAAGATGTTGGACAAATGAAATGATCAACTTTCAAACCTTGAAATTTGACAACTTTTTTTTTCTCTTCACTTTTTTTTCGACCTTCTGTTATCGATTGTTACTGGCCTAGATTGGCTGATTGGTCGAGTTGATAATTGTTGGTCAGAGATGAAAGTTGTTAATCAAGTTGAATTGTTGGTAAAGTTGCTTGAAATTGTATCATCAGTTTGGAATGGATGAGGATGATTGAAGATGAATAGAAATTT